CCCTGTGGACTCAAGGGTCCCACGTTCGATTCTGGTCAAGAGCATGTTCCTTAGTTGCGGGTGCATAGCCAGTGGGGAGTGTGCAGGAGGCAGCTGATGGATGTTTCTCTCCATCGATGTTTCTGACTCTCTATCCCTCTCCCTTCCTCTTTGTAAAAAATCAATAAAATGTATTAAAAAAAAAAAAAAAGAAAGAAAGAAAGAAAGAAAGAAAGAAAGAAAGAAAGAAAGAAAGAAAGATAGATAGATAAAGGGTATAGGAAGGAAGCCAGACTGAGTGGAAAGAAGACAAGTTTTTTGTGTGTTTTTTTTAATATATTTTTTTAATATATTTTATTGATTTTTTACAGAGAGGAAGGGAGAGAGATACAGAGTCAGAAACATCGATGAGAGAGAGTCATCAATCAGCTGCCTTTTGCACACTTCCTACCGGGGATATGCCCGCAACCAAGGTACATGCCCTTGACCGGAATCGAACCCGGACCCTTCAGTCCCCAAGCCGACGCTCTATCCATTGAGCCAAACCGGTTTTGGCAAGAAGACAAGTTTTATCTGAAACCTTATTTTCCTGGTTTAAGAGTTATATTTCCTGGAAATAAGAGTTATAAAAAAAGAGTCTAGCCCTAGCTGGTTTGGCTCAGTGGGTAGAGTATCTTCCTGTGGACTGAAGAATTCCTGTGTTTAATTCCTGTTAAGAGCATATGTCCAGGTTGCGGGTTCAATCCGCAGTAGATGGAGTGCAGGAGGCAGCCAATCAATAATTTTCTCTCATCATTGATGTTTCTATCTTTCTCTCCTTTGCCCTTACTCTCTGAAAATCAGTAAATGTATATATATATATATATATATATATATATATATATATATATATATTAAAAAGAGTCTAATGGTGATATAAAAAGAGTGAATGGGATTTGGAAAAGCCATTGTAAATAGCTATAAGTAAGCAATTGAAAAAGAGAAATATGGATCACATGTCATTTAAAACACAAAAGCCTATTTTGTAGCTCTGGGACTGGGTCCAATAAACTCATAACTCTAGAACACAGGTGCAGAGATGAATGTTAGAGATGAGCACATAGCATTAGCCCTGAGGTTCCATGGAAAGGTAATTTGGCTTGTAAATCCATGTATAATGTCAGGATGGACTAGGAGTTGAGTACAATGAAAGAGATAAAATGATCCCACTTAAACTGTACTCTAGTCAAACCTTCACTCACCAGTCCCCTGCAGAAGGTAAGCCCATCTCTTGTACCGCATGTGCCTGCAGGGAAGCCAAAGCCTTTTGTCTTAGGCCAAGCATAAACTGGATTGTCAGAGGGCCCAGAGCTGCTGCGCGGAGGCAGCTTTTGCTCACTGCATTCAGGGAAGCATGTGAGTAGAACCCACCAGATGCCCAAAGCCATAGGAGCCAAAAGAACTATTAAGCCATAATTAAATGGGAGTAGAGAGGAGATTGTCAGGCAAATTTTGAAAAGAAAAAAAAAAAAAATCTTGCCCGACAGAAAAGAAAGTAAGGTTGGGGGGACGGGGGTGGGGGGGGGAGTAAGTTAATATAGTAAATGATTAATTAATATCTTGGTTTTCCTGAGCTATACCTGTAGGCAGTGGGAGTGACTTGTAGGAAGAAGAGAGTGGATTGCTCCCAGAGTCACTATTCAGCACTTTCTATGTTGGTGTCAGCACTGTGCTAGATTAGACATAGGGAATATAGGCATGCATGAGACATGGTCCCTGCATTCAAAGGGATTATAGTTTATGAAAGGAAACCATGTAAAAATACACTTATCTTTGGATATATTAAGTGTAATTAGGGATGTCAGAAAACAGAGCAGTTAGGCACTAAGCAATCAGGAAAAGAGAAATGAGGATTAGGGAAAGAATGCTTCGCAAGAAGGTGACCCCCAAACTGAAGCCGGGAAACAAGTGCAAGTTAACCCCTTAGGGAGGGAGTAAAAAGGGGGGGTCTTAGGTAAAGCAGCAGCACCCGTTTAAAAATATTTTTAATTGATTTTTAGAGAGGAAAAGGGAGAGACATAGAGAGATAGAAATATTGATGAGAGAATCATTGATCGGCTGCTTCCTACATGCCCCTTCTTAGGAATTGAGCCTGCAAACCCAGTAATGTGCTCTGACCTGAATCAAACCATGATCTCCTGGTTCATGGGCTGATGCTCACCCACTGAACCACACTGGCTGGGCATGGAGCAGCATCTTTAAAGGCCCAGGTAGGAATGAGACAACATCAGAAACTTCAGGCAGTTCTGTGTATCAGAAAAACATTCAAGGAGGAATGAAGCAAGAAATAAGGCAACTAAGGGAGTCAAGTCATGAAGGAGCCAAGACTACAAATCTGATGCTGGGGGCAAGGAGAGATCTTAAACTTTCTACAGGCAGTCTAAGTTTGGAGAGAGATGTCTTTGCTACAAGTCATCAGCCTGGAGGAGGTAGTTAAGCCTGAGCAGGAGATAAGATCACCCAGAGAAACTATGGCATGTCAGAGGGTTGAACTCTATGGAAGGGAACCTGAAAAACACCAACATTTAGAATGAGTAAGCAAGAAATATCCAAGAATGAGACAGAGAAGGACTTAAGTGAAATCAGGTGTTTTGTGGAAAACAGGAAAGAGGGAGCTTTAAGAAAATGGTGGGCAGCTATATTAAGTGATGTGAGAACTAAAAAATGGACATAGCAACAAAAAAAATCATGCAGGAAATTGGCAACAATTTCAATTTCCATTAACAGGAAAATAGACCAATTATTGCACTGTGCTACACAGGAATCCTATACAGCAAGGAAAATATGGAGTCCTATACAGCAAGGAAAATATATGAAGTATATTTCTATATGTTGGCCTGGCTGAACCTAGCAAAGATAACACTAAATAAAGCAAGGAGCAGAAGAAAAAAATAGTGGAATGCTATTCGTTGTTTAAAAATACTTACAAATGTAGCAGAAATTTAAAGATATATATATTGCAATGATGAATATCAAGTTCAGGAGAACGGTTATCCAGGATCAGTTAAAGAGTGGTTGTGATTGGGAGAGTGGTTACACGGGACTCTTCAACGGGAGTGGTAATATTTCATTTCATAACTGGTTGGAGAGTTTGCTATCCAGTCATGTACCACTTAATGACAGAGATATGTCCTAAGAAATGCATCCTTAGGTGCCAGGACCGGTTTGGCTCAGTGGATAGAGTGTCAGCCTGTGGACTGAAGGGTCCCAGGTTCGATTCCGGTCAAGGGCATGTACCTTGGTTGCGGGCACATCCCCAGTAGGGGGTGTGCAAGAGGCAGCTGGTCGATGTTTCTCTCTCATCGACATTTCTAACTCTCTGTCCCTTTCAATTCCTCTCTGTGTAAAATCAATAAAATATATTTTTTTAAAAAATGCATCCTTAGGTAATTTTGTCATTGTGCAAACGTCATAAAGGGATAACCTACTACATTACCTAGGCTATATGGCACAACAGCATCATATATATGCAGTTTGTCATTAACCAAAATGTGGATATGTGGTGCGTGACTATTATAACTTGAGAGTGTTGCATGTGAAAACTCTACTGACCACATCTAAGGTATTTTCGTGGAGTGTGTGCATGTTTGTAGTGGGTGGAGGTATCCAACGTGCAGTGAACTGAAGAGGAATGCGGTAAACCTAATGCCTAAGGCCTGATGACGATCATTATTCCAAATACATACAGGTTCTAAAACCAATGTTAAAAGATAAACTGAGGCATATTTACATTTTTTAAAGAACTTATTTAAGCAAAAAATCAATTCAAATCGTCCAGCACCAAACTGGAAGCTGTTAGAGACTTCTATAAGAAAAAGGAAGAAGCAAAGCAAGGAAATCATTGATTAAAGCCTGGCTGGCTGTTTGTGATTGGTTGTCCTTAGATTTTCATAACTTGAGACATTAACAGGCTTCTATTTTGGTTGGTGTAAGCCACCACAACCTTAGAGCCACATGTTGAATGGCAGGCTTCCTTGTTTAATTTAGTACAAAAATTGTCTGAATTCTTCCACTTAGCTGTGAATGCCTATGCCTCAGTTTCTCTTTTGTAAAATGGATATTCAACAGTAAACTCTCTGTGAAACTGTTAGGAAAAGTTAATGATTTCACACACTCAGTACTTAAAATAATGCCTCAGAAGCAGAAAAGTACTAGGTACTTGAGTTAATCATCATCACCATCATCAGTACAAAACAAAGAGATAGTATTAGCCACAGCAATGTCCTGAGTTCGTGGGACATGTTACAATTTGCCAACAGCCATGAGAAACTACAGGAATTAAAGCGTTTTTGCAGAAATTGACACAGACGTTCAAGATGCCATGGACCACCGTTGTTCCTACAATCCCCTTCCTGACTGTCCTCCCTGGCCTGCGGGGGTGCAAGCCCAGACACTCAAGAGGAGTTTAGACTACTTTTAAAAATGCGTGGCTACATCATATCCCACTTTTATTTTTTTTTGTGTGTGTGTGTGTGTGTGTCATTTTTAATTATACCCCATTTTTATTCGGATTCATCCGTAAACCCTTTTCGGGAGCTCCAGACTCCTAAACTCCTTACCTCTAGCACCGCCCTCGCCTCGAAGGTCCCGCCCTCGGCTCAAGCACCGCCCACAAGAGGCGGGGCCTGCGTGCGGACGCACGGCCAGCGCGCTGACGTCAGCGCCCCGTCCCGCGGGCACCCTCCCGCCGGCTGGAGCCGCAGCCCCGCGCTGCCGAGGGTTGGGGGGCGGGCGCCAACGGCCGGCGCCGCGCGGCGGGAAGCGGCGCGGGAACGCGGCGTCCAGGGGCGACTTAACTGGAGTCCAGGTCCCTGCGCCTTCTGGCCGACCCGCTCGCTGCTCCTGCGCAAAGCTGCGGAGCCGCAGTCTTCGGGCCGCGGGCGCTCGAAAAGCCCGGAGGCGATCGGGGAGGGGGGCTCCCGGCCAGGGGCGGGCGTCGCCTCCTCCTCCACCGCCGGTGTCCCCGAGGCCGCCCCCCGGCCATGATCGACTCGGTGAAGGTGCGCCGTGACTCCGCGGCCGACTTCTTCTCCCGCTACGAGTACCTGTGCGCGCTGCAGGACGCGGTGCCGCTGCCCGCCGTGCGCGCCAGCCTGCGGGAGGGCGTGCTGGACTTCGACGCCGACCGCCTCGGCCTGGGGGACTGGACGCCGCTCCTCAACACGCTCAAGATCAACAAAGACCTGCCCCTGGTCTCCATCAAGAGCTTCTTCCCGACCGGGCTCGGCGAACCGGGTTTGTAGTTTCCCGCGTCTCGTGGTCCTTCCTGGCGTCGGTGCCGCGCAGCGGGGATTTTAAACGGGGCCGGGCGGAGCCTGGGCGCTGGGCCGGTGCGGCGCGCGGCCCAGGGGTCTGACCAGCTCCCTTTAAAAAAAAAAAAAAAAAAAAAGTATTTTATTGATTTTTTACACAGAGGAAGGAAGAGGGATAGAAAGCTAGAAACATCGTTGTGAGAGAAACATCGACCAGATGCCTCCTGCACACACCCCTTACCGGGGATGTGCCCGTAACCAAGGTACATGCCCTTGACCGGAATCGAACCTGGGACCTTGCAGTCCGCAGGCTGGTGCTCTATCCACTGAGCCAAACCGGTTTCGGCTTTTTTTTTTTTTTTTTTTTAATATATTTTATTGATTTTTTTACAGAGAGGAAGGGAGAGCGATAGAGAGTTAGAAACATCGATGAGAGGGAATCATCGACCAGCTGCCTCTTGCACATCCCCTACCGGGGATGTGCCCGCAACCAAGGTACATGCCCTTGATCGGAATCGAACCTGGGACCTCTCAGTCTGCAAGCTGATGCTCTATCCACTGAGCCAAACCGGTTTCGGCTGGGCAAATCCCTTAACTCAGTAAGCGCCTTCCCTGTTTTGCCTCCCTTTCCTTGTAGCCCGTGATATCCGATTTCACCGATCTGCTGGCGGCACCAGGGACTGACCGGTCCGGATGGAAAGTATAGTCACTCACCATGACTGACATGGATGGCGCTTAACGTGTTAAAGCCTCTAGGTCTTTTTTTTCTTAGCTGCAACCTGGGCTTAACACCCTGTATATGGTGATGGCAAGCATCTCTTCCCCCCCTCCCCCGAGTTAACCCTTGGTGAGCACTTAGCACAGTTTGGGACATCATTAAGCATCCTACAGATGTTACCTGGAACCTTGTCTCCTCCAGCAAGTCTCCGATCTGACTGAGCTCATCATTCAAGTGCCAGGATCCTTGTCTCCAGCTAGGATTGTTTATGCAATGACTTTCCCTAGTGTAGAACAAAGCGATTAGGAATTTTCTACATCCCAGCCTTTTGCTGCATTTTAAGACAGGACTCTCTGTTGGGGGATAAGGAGGGGGGAGGGGGAAGTTGTTTTAATAGAAGCATATTAGTGGACAGAGCATGAATGCAGCCTAGGGTTTAAATTCCAGGGTTTACACTCTGTGAGATGGGCAGGTTACTTTTGAACTACTGGACAACATTAAAATTGACATTAAAAAACGCTCTTTCCATGGGTTTTTAGAATTAGCGGGCTACATATGTAAAGGATCCTGACCTGCTGGAGATAAGGCTCCTGGCCTGGAGGATCTATCTTTTTCCTGGGGGAATGGGGGGAGGCTGCAATGAGCCCAAGCACAGCAGTCAGGACCCTGAAAGAAGTGAGTTCTGGTGCTTCAGAGTGCAAATATTGGCAGGGAAGGTTCAAGGAAGGCTCCTTGGAGGAGGCATTCTTTCTAAGACTGTAGAAGCGACTCAGATGGCAGGAAAAGGCAGCTATGTCAAAGTTTGAGAAATATAAGACTATCTGGCAAAACTACGGTATGGGACTAGAACTCCAGGTTTGAGAAATAAGTGAATTGAGACTAGAACCCTGGTGGGGGCCAAATAGGGAGGGACCTTGTTTGGATGCTTATCTTGAGAGTGGTGGGAAACAAGGGTGATGAGATGGACTTTTGAAGTGGAAGTTCACTCTGACCTCCCTACAGAAGGCAGCTGATTGGGAGGAAGGCGAATTGTAATGTAAGGGCCCAAATTAAGGTACAAAGAGGGAGGGCTGGGTTACAGAGATCAAAGAGACAGAATGTGTGTAACCGGGTGACCAGTAAACAGAGGGAAGGCAGCAAACCTGGGTGACAATCTAAAGCAGCACTTTTCTGCCCCATCAGCATGGCTCAGTGGTTGAGCATTGACCTAGGAACCAGGAGGTCATGGCTGGATCCCCTCCAGGGCAAATGCCAGGGTTGTGGGCTCCATCCCCATTGCGTGGTGTGCAGGAGGCAACCAATCAACGATTCTCTCTCATCATTGATGCTTCTATCTCTTTCTCCCCCTCCCTTCCTCTCTGAAATCAATAAAAATAAAAATAAAGCAGCACTTTTCTGTGATAGGCAGAGCACCATAGGAAGGGATTGAGGGTGGGGACAGGATCTTCATCTTTGATGTTTAAGAGGAGCCTTTAGAGCATCCATACCTGTTTGATGGCTGTTTGAAGGCATGGGAGAAACTGAGGTTACCACAAAGAAGATCCCAAAAATCGTAGGCCTGAAAATAGACACACTTGAATATGTTTATAAACAAACAGAGTAGCCAACAGAGATTTAGGGTGTGAAGATCTTGAAAAGGAATTGTTTGTTTATTTACTTATTTATTTATTTTTTAACCAGTAAAACCTAAACATTTGTCATGTGCCAGGCCCTTTTCTAGGCTCTGGGATTCACACCACCTGTTATCTCTTCTGCAAGGATGGTTCAACTTATCCCCTGGTGAAGAGAAGTTAGGTTATTATCTGCATCTTACTCGGGTATAGAACTGTTTTGTACCTCTGAAGACTTTAACCAAAGTACTAACTTAGAAATCAAAAGAAATTACAGTTGAAAAGGGACCTTAGATCAAGGCCACCGTACTTAATCCTGCCTAATATTTTATATTGAATGTAAGAAAAATGTTTTACATAAACCATTATTTTCAGAGTTCCTTTACTGAACCTTCTTTATCACTTGCATCCAGTGGGTCTAGGTTATAGATTTTAACCTCCTAAATTTTCTTCTTCATCCTTAATTACATTTGCCTGGGCTGTTGCAGAAGCTTCTAGCTGGTTTTGCTGTCCCTAAGTTCAGTTTCTTTCAGTTTATCTGCCCACTTGCCTTGAGTGATCTTCCAAAATGAAAGGGTATGCTGCCCAGCTGGCATGGCTCAATGGTTGACCTATTAACCTGGAGGTCACAGTTCGATTCCCAATCAGGGCATATGCCCAGGTTATGGGCATGATCCCCCAATGTGGGGCATGCAGGAGGCAGCCGATAAGTGATTCTCAGTCACCTCTAATGTTTCTATAGTTCTCCCTACCCCTTCTTCTCTGAAATCAATAAAAATCCTATCTAATAAAGAGGTAATATGCAAATTGACCATCATTCCAACACACAAGATGGCTGCCCCCATGTGGACACAAGATGACCAGCAGGGGAGGGCATTTGTGGGCTATCAGGCCTGCAGGGGAGGGCAGTTAGGGGGGACTAGGCATGCAGGGGAGGGCAGTTGAGGGGGGACCAGGCCTGCAAGGGAGGGCAGTTGGAAGGGGGGGGTTAGGCCAGCAGGGGAGGGCAGTAAGGGGCGACCATGCTGGTAAAGGAGGGCTGGTCTAGCAGGGACGGGCAGTTGGAGGCACCAAGTCTACAGGGGAGGACAGTTAGGAGCTACCAGGCCAACAGGGGAGTGGTTAGGGGTGATTAGGCTGGCAGGGGAGCAGATAGACGTCAATCAGGCTGGCAGGGGAGTGGTTAGGGCGTGATCAGGCTGGCAGGCAGAAGCGGTTGGGACAATCAGGCAGGCAGGCAGGTGAGCAGTTGGGAGCCTGGATTGTGAGAGGGATGTCCGACTGCCCTCTCCAGATTGGAGAGGGTGCAGGCTAGGCTGAGGGATAACACCCCCCACCCCCTACACACAAATTTTGTGCATTGGGCCTCTTGTTTATTTTATAAAATAAAATGAAAAAAAATAAGCTTAAAAGAAATGCTCTAACGGCTAATGCCCACAGGATTATGGCATGTTGGTTTGTACAGCTTGTGTTCTATACAGAGGTTTGAAATCTGAGCTGTGCTCTGACAGGTCTCATGGAGCTAGTTGGCTCTATGAGGGGGTGCTTTTTCTAATCCTTTATCTAATTTGCCCTTCAGCAGTGGGGTGCTTTTTCTATCCTGCAGAGGCACCTGTTCCATTGGTAGCCCTGATCATCAAACTGTACTCTCTCCCAGACCTACTTGTGCCAGCCTCTCTATTTTAGTTTCTATCTCTTCCCCCACTTGCACTCTAGCCTTTTTTGTCAGTGCCTGACAGATGTTGGCTTGGAAATCTGCCCATTTGCTCCCCCTATAGTTAATGCACTTCCCATTCTTTGTAGTCATTCTCATCTTTCTAGATCAGCAATTTTTTAAGAGACATTTTACTGATTTTTACACAGAGGAAGAGAGAGGGAGAGAGAGTTAGAAACATTGATGATAGAGAAACATCAATCAGCTGCCTCTTGTACCTTCCCTACTGGGAATGTGTCTGCAACCAAGGTACTTGCCCTTGACTGGAATCGAATCTGGGACCCTTCAGTCCGCAGACAGATGCTCTATCCACTGAGCCAAACTAGTTAGGGCTAGATCAGCAATTTTTAACCTTTTTCATCTCATAGCACACATTAATTACTAAAATTTTCTGACACAGCAAAAAATATATATTTTTTGCCAACCTCACAAAAATAGATATGCGTTTTATTCATTCACCCTGGATGGCTATTATGTTGGCTGGGTTTTTTTGTTTGTTTGTTTGCTTGCTTGCATAGTTTATGTTTCTATATCTTATGTGGTTGAAGTTTAGAGTTTTCATGTGTCCCTCCTTAAAGAAGACTTTAAGGGTAGATGTTATTTCTATGCCTTAGCATAGAGCAGATGCTTTTTAATTTTTTAATTTTCACCAGAAATTATTTTATTTTTATTTCTATTTTTAAAGAGAGAGGAGGTGGGTAGGAGAGAGGGAGAAAAAAGAAGAGAAAAGGAAAGAGAAACATCCATCAATTGCTTCCTATACTTGTTCCAACCAGGGTTAAACCCAAAACCTAGGTATGTGCCCTGACTGGGAACTAAACCTTCATCCTTTTTAATGATGATAAAATGTCTGGTTGAAATCACTAGCTTTATAATTCTTTTTCTTTAGGTTCTGATAGAAGTAAAGTTTGCAGAAGTCGAGTTCCTGCAATAAGAAACAAAGATGTGACCTTCCAGCTATGCAAAGCTCTTAAATGCTGTTTAAGTGCATCAAATGCTCTAAAGCACCTGGAACTAAATGGACTAGTTCTGAGAGAGAGAGATTTAACTATTTTAACCAAGGTAAGCCTTCTCCATTGTGTCCTGAGAACATTTAATAGTTGCTTTTGGGGGAAACTAAACCAATAAATTATTTAACTTTTTCTCCCCATTTAAAGGGATTGAATAAATCAACTACTTTGGTGCAATTGTCTCTTGCAAATTGTCCGATTGGAGATGGAGGTTTAGAAAGTGAGTCTTAATCTTACTTAAGTCTCTTCTTATCAGACTAATCTTATGATTCCCTACATGCCATGTTAATTCCTATCTGGATCTTTTCTTGGTGCTATCTCTATCTGAATTGTTCTTGTGCCTGCTCAAACCTTGGTCTAATACCACTTGTACATGAAAGTTCATCATGCTTAATACTTTTTTTTTAATTGATTTTTTACAGAGAGGAAGGGAGAGAGATAGAGAGCTAGAAACGTTGATGAGAGAGAAACATCGACCAGCTGCCTCTTGCACACCCCCTACCGGGGATGTGCCCGCAACCAACGTACATGCCCCTGATCGAAATCGAACCTGGGACCTTTCAGTCCGCAGACCGACACTCTACCTCTGAGCCCAAACCGGTTTCGGCCATGCTTAATACTTTCTGAATTAATTTTACTTAAGGTTGTGTTAAGCCACAGCTACACAAATATGTAATATTTTGTATTTACTGTTTGTTTTTTATGTTTGTTTATCTCTAAGAAATATTAAGGGAGGGGAAATAGCAAAATATAAAGAGAAAAAAGTCAGTATTAATTTTCAATCGTTAAAACACCTATATGCAACCATAATTAAAATGCACTATGGTGTGTGCTAAAATAGGAAATATATGCCAAGTACTATGGGGGTGAGGAAGCCTGCATTTCAGTTTGAGAGAACCAAGTTTTGAGGCCCCCTAATGTATATTGCTCTAGTATATTATATATTACCTAATAAAGTTCTGGGTTTATAATTTACATTTAAGTTGTTGATTGATAATCGAGATGAGGTTATAGGAAATGAGAATAGAAAGATTTAGTCTTTTTAGTTTTTCTATGTCTCAAAAGGTTGATAGTACTTTATAGAGTGGTTGGGAATAAAATTTGCAAATTTAGATCCAGTTTTAGCATCTAAATAGGATTAAACTGTTGCTATAAACTGGAATAATGCTTTGTTACTGCCATATTTTAGAATGCACCAATCCATATCTGTTCTCTGCAAAAATCGTACAGGATGGTTTTTAGAGTACAGTTATCAGTAGACTCCAGAGAAGCAAGTAAATCAAGATTGACCAGGCTGGCTCTTTATCTTACCTCATATGGTTATTGTTGTTTTTTCCTGTTTAGTTGTCTGTCAAGGTATAAAGAACTCTGTCACTATTAAGGCAGTAAACTTCACGGGGTGTAATCTGACATGGCAGGGAGCAGATCACATGGCCAAGATCTTAAAGGTAATTTTGTTTACATTTTCATTAAAACATATGTGATTGAAGCAGTTTATTATTTTGATGCAAATGGCGGTTATTTTTATGTGTATACCTATATCTATTTATCTATATCATATATCAGAACTCTTTCACTTGAAAAAAAAATATGGCAATTATTTTTGTCTTTTGGTACATGTGGTAATTATAGTTTTAGTTTTGTTGGAAGAATATGACCAGTTTTACTTTGGGGTTCTACCATTTAGTAAAAATGGTCCACTTAATCTGAGAAATCAGAGATTGAATGTAAAACATAAACAATGCTTTCATGTATTTTTACTCATTGAAAAAATTTATTGTTATACTATGAAGAAAGTTCAAATTACTTACATGAAAAAATATCAAAATTTACTGTTAATTGCTGTAATTTATAAACTAATAAAAATCACTATTTTAGCATTTTGTAAATATAGTTTTTAAAATAATGCTTTAACAACTGTACAGTGGTTATACCTACTATATTTAGGCCTAAAATTACTTACTAATATTTTAACATAAAGCCCTTTTAAAATATATTTTATTGCTTTTTTACAGAGAGGAAGAGAGAGGGATAGAGAGTAAGAAACATCGATCAGCTGCCTCTTGCATACTCCCCACTAGGGATGTGCCCGCAACCAAGGTACATGCCCTTGACCGGAATCGAACCTGGGACCTTTCAGTCCGCAGGCTGACGCTCTATCCACTGAGCGAAACCGGTTTCAGCAACAGAAAGCTTCTTTTATAATAATAGTTTGATGATATAAGTCAGGGATAGGTAGAATTCAGCCCATTGCCTGTTTTTTAAAGGTTTTTTTTGGAACACCGTCACACCCACTTGTTGACATAGTAATTATGACTACTTTCACCCTATACATCCAGTTGAGTAGTTTCAACAGAAACTGTATAGCCCACAAAGCTGGACATTTTACCTTTGGGCCTGTACAGTGCAAGTCCATTGACCCCCCCAAGAGAACAGTCAAGAGCAAAGATTCTAAAAGCAAATGCCCTGGGTTCAAATTCCAGCTCTCCCATTTTTTTAACTTCTGTGCCTTATTATGTGGGTTAAATGAAATAATTTTGTATAAAATAGTGGCTAGCATGTAATAAACACTATGTAAATGCTGTTATTTCTACTGTTTCTTAATAAGTTATTAATATAAAAATAACATTAATATTTTCCTTTTATAGTGTCATAGGAACTTTCTTGTTCAAGAATGTAATGAGATTTTTTTTTTTTGAGTTTTTTAGAAAAATAGGGTGGGGGAAAGAGAAAGAAATATCAATTTGAAAGAGGAACATTGATTAGTTTTCTTCTATACATGCCTCTATTGGGACTGAACCCAAAACCAAGATATGTGTCCTGATCAGGAATCGAACTGTCACCTTTTGGTGTATGGGATAATCTCCAACCAACTGAGTCACTCTGGCCAGGGCAGATTTTTTTTTATCGTCAGTATTTCCTGTTGGCAAAATTTATTTTATGAATATAGAATTGAAAATGCCCTTCATACAATACCTGTGGTTAAAAATCAAACCATCATTCCCTAACTGGTTTGGCTCAGTGGATAGAGTATTCGCCTGCGGACTCAAGGGTCCCAGGTTCGATTCTGGTCAAGGGCATGTACCTTGGTTGCAGGCACATCCCCAATAGGGGGTGTGCAGGAGGCAGCTGATTGATGTTTTTCTCTTATCAATGTCTCTTATTTTCTCTCCCTCTCCCTTCCTCTCGGGAAGGGTGGAGGGGGGTTGGGGGAGGGGAGAATATATATATATAATAAAATAAAAATAAAACCATCAATTTTGTAAGGCATGTCAAACTGGTTTGGCATACACATTTTGTTCTCATATCCTAAGTAGTATTGGAACCTCTGTATTTATTTTTGTATCATTTAAAAATTTTGTGTAGTATATAATATATATAAAATATATGCACAGAATTACATATATATAGCTTATCAATAAATAAAGTACATGTTTTTAAAATGTGGGATGCACAGTCAAGCATTTGGAGACCTCTGAAGAACAGAATTTAGAGCCTCAACAATGCTAGAATGTAGACTCTATTTCCTGACTTGGCAGATAAAGAAAATAAAACTCATATAATCTAATTGAGTTGTCGATATATACCTAATCAACAACAGGCCATCCAGTGCTGCAGTCTTATAACTGGCAGACTAGAATTGAGTAAACTCTTCAGTTGACTCTCCTGGCATATATACTGTGTGTATGTATGTAAATTTCAAACATAATAAGTCCTACTCTGTATGCATATCTTGTTCTCATATTTCATCTTATTAAACCCTTGAAGTATCAGACCATGAGAAGACATGAAGAAACCTGGGCTGAGAGTCTTCGGTACCGGAGACCGGATCTTGACTGTATGGCTGGCTTGAGGCGCATCACTTTGAATTGCAACATGCTCATTGGTGACTTGGGTGCAAGTGCTTTTGCAGAAACTCTTACTGAGGATTTATGGCTTAGAGGTAAATTCTAAAATTGAAAATAATGAATTTTATAATATTAAATTAGCTTTTGGCATATTATCATTGTCGTATTTCTTAAAGCCTCATTTTATCCTAAAATTTTTATTGTTCTTTTAAACTTTTCTTAAGAGTTGCATATATATTTTTTAATTACCCATAATCTTAATAATTCCCAGACCTAATCACTGTTCAATTTGATATCGTACTTTCAGTCTACTTTTTTATAAATAGTTAGAGATTACAAAAATGGAATTGTAGTGTACTTACTATTCATATCCCTTTTTTATTTCAGAGAGAGATAAAAACATCAATGGTGAGAGAGAAACATTGATCTGCTGCCTCCTGCACACCCCACAGGAAGGATCAAACCATGACCTCCTTGTTCATAGGTTGACACTCAACCACTGAATCACATCAACCGGGCCATATCCCTGCTTTTTTCACTTAATGGAACATTATGAGTACTCCGTTATATTGCTGTGCAATAGTTTAATCAATTATTTGCAATTAGATTTTGACAATTTGTGCTTTTCTCTGTCGGAAACCGTGTGTAATGAACACTTTGTATGTACATCTCTGTGTCTGTCGGGATTACTTCTGCAGAATATGTTACTTCTGTAGGATATATTACTAAAAGTGGATGACCAAGTATGGCATATTTTTAAGACTGGATATGTGTTGCCAAATTGCCTGCCAGAAATACTGTGCCAATTTATAATCTATCCTAACAGTGTATATGAGACCTGCACCCTCTTGAACACTGGCTTGTGTCATTTAAATGGAAATTGGGTATTTCAAAGTTTATAATTTTTTTTCATTTAGCATAATATGAGCATCTTAACAAGTCAGTAAATTTACATCTGCCACAATATTTTTAGTGGTAGTTGAGCGTTCCATTATATGAATATGCTATACTTAGCTCATTCATTCTTAGATATATAAGCTATTTCCAGTTTTTCACTATAATAAGCAACACTGTGATATACATCCTTGCCTACATCTCTGATTATTGCTATGGTTAAATTCCTAAAAAAAAAAGAATTTTTCTGGTTCAAAAATATGCACATTTTGCCGAAACTGGTTTGGCTCAGTGGACAGAGCATCAGTCTACGGACTGAAGGGTCCCAGGTTCGATTCCGGTCAAGGGCATGTACATTGGTTGTGGGCACATCCCTGGTGGGGGGTGTGCAGGAGGCAGCTGGTCGATGATTCTCTCTCATTGATGTTTCGAGCTATCTATCCCTCTCCCTCTCTGTGAAGAATTAATAAAATATATTTTTTTTAAAAAGAAGAAGAATATGCACATTTTAAAGGCTTTTGCTATATGGTCTTGGCCTAATCTGATAAGAAAATAATCATATTTGATTATTTTAATTTGTATTTATTTGATTTACTAGTGAGATTTCTTGACTTTTTTTTTTTTTAATCAGTTCGGCTAGTTGGATAATTATAGTGTGTTTCCATTCTGTGGTAAGAGTTTGTGAGTGTTACATCATGTTCTCTTAGATCTATATATCTGACTTCTTATTTCTGTGTGCTCTGAGGTTTTGATAGACTCCAGCTATTTTAATGGAATAGTATATTAACACAGTGATATAAAAACTTTTATTAAAGACTGGCATAATTTCCTCTTACATGTATATTTATAGCAATGATTTTGTGATGTTCCCTTTGGTTTAAATGAGTAGGTTGTACAACCTCAGAACTAATAGTAAACATGGTCATTTGTTCTTTTCTTTGACCTTTTCCAAGAGAGAGTTCTTGAGTAACATTCTTTCATGGTGGGCTTTTGGCATATTTAACATATATTTTATTATGTACTCACACATTCTTTGGATTTGTCATTATTTGCATACTCTTAAACTTCTTTTGTCTTTTTTATTCTAAATCTAATGACTACATTTTTTTTTTCTACTTCCCTATTTTATCTAGTTTCAAGAGTAAATTGGAGCTCAGGATCATGATCAAAAGAATATACTGCAGCTGAGCCCAATCAGTTTTTGCCTATGAGGTTTACATGCCATTAGCATCCTTGCTAATTAAAACTGAGATTCTTTTGTGATGTTTTTAGTGATAGATTATATGGAATTATTCTTCAATTCTAATTGTAAAATATGCTAGATGATTTATTGGTACTAAAGGCAGGATAATCTTGGCATATCCAAGAAGAGGTTTTTTTTTATTGGATTTTGTATTATGTGTGCATATACTTTAAAAAATTTTTTCAGTACCTAATATTAAAACCCTGCCATAACTAATCTTATACAGGATTTTTCCGCACATAAATAAGTGAAAGTTGTCTGTGTATTAAATCTCTACAGAATTGGCAAGTGACCTTTTGTCTTTCATCAACAGCACTTGACCTGCAGCAGTGTGGCCTCACCAATGAAGGAGCAAAAACTTTACTCAAGGCCCTTGAAAACAATATAACTCTAGTTATTCTGGATATAAGAAAAAATCCACTTGTTGGTATGTCTCCCCATTTTTTTAATGGTTAACAAATAACATACAAAAATAATTTGTGTATTGACAATTTTTAAAACCTAATGTATTTACTTGCCTAATCTTATACTTTTGTAGCATAAAGTCTTATCTTATGGAATTTACATTCTAGTGGAGGAGTTTAGATAGAAATGAGTAAACAGATAAGTGATATCATTTTATATGGTAAGAAGTACAAAGATGCCTTGCAGTAAGGAGACTGAAGGAGGCACATAGGATTATCTATAATAATAAAAGTGTAATATGCTAATTAAATCTGAACAAAGCCTGGGCTGGATGCCAGCAGCTGGGGCAAGGAAGGCCTGCTCTTGCATGAATTTCATGCATTGGGCCTCTAGTATTAGTTAGGTTTGCCAGGGGACTGCTTTACTGAAGAAGTGACATTCAAATGGAAGAGACCTTAGTGAAGAGAGAGGCAAGCCATGGAAGATCTGGGGAAGCACATACCAGGAAAGGAGAGCAATTAGTATGCAGGCACAAAGGTGGCAGGTTGGATGGAGTATACAAGGAAAAGCAAGGAAGCCAACATGGCCAGAGAGCACTGAGTGAGGAAGAACATAACGTGTTTCCCCGAAAATAAGACATCCTCCGAAAATAAGACCAACTTACAGATTTCCTTCTGAGTGAAATATAAGGCATCCCCCCGAAAATAAGAACCCCCCCCCCCCAAGGCTCTGTCTCAGAATGCTATTGCTAAACATGAGAGATTTGGTCCACTGATTCTGAAAGAAATGGAGTCACAAGAAATTCACCAGGAAATTCAGGAATTGGATTGTTATGATGATGTTCCAGAAGATGATGACATGATTGTCATTGAATAAATGAGTAAATTCTTGATACTGTAGGATTCACAGTTTGTCTGGTTTGTGTTGACAACTACCGTACTACCGTACCGTATACAGGTAATAAATTTCCTTTATTTTCATTTAATAATAAATGTGTACTGTATTCTTCTTCATGGAAAAATAAGACATCCCCTGCAAATAAGACCTAGCACATCTTTGAGAGTAAAAATTAATATAAGACACTGTCTTATTTTCGGGGAAACAGGCGTAGTATGCTATGAGGTCAAGGTGCTAGCCAGGGACCTGATCTGGTAAGATCTTGAAGGTCAGAGGCTTGCTCTAAATGAGCAAAGGATTTTGAGCTGGGAAAGGGCATCATCTGGGAAGTCTTTCAATAAGATGACCCTGGTGTGGAGATTAGACTTGTGGGGGGGGATAAAGAAGCAAATAGGGAGACCAGTTTGAAAACTATCACAATGGTCCAAATAAGAGATGGCTATGGCTTACCTTAGAGTGGAAAGTTGCAGCTGATGAAAGTGGTTGAGTTCAGATTGTGTTTTGAGGGTGTAGCTAACAAGACTTGCAATTAGATTAGGTATGGCATATGAAAGAAATAGTAATAAAGAAACAAGTCTAGCCGAAACCTGTTTGGCTCAGTGGTAAAGCGTCGGTCTGTGGACTGAAAGGTCCCGGGTTCGATTCCGGTCAAGGGCATGTATGTTGGTTGCGGGCACATCCCCGGTGGGGGGTGTGCAGGAGGCGGCTGGTCGATGTTTCTCTCTCATTGACGTTTCTGGCTCTCTATCTCTCTCCCTTCCTCTATGTAAAAAATCAATAAAATATATTAAAAAAAAAAAAAAGAAAGAAAGAAAGAAAGAAAGAAAGAAACAAGTCTACCCTAGCTGTTTGGCTCAGTGGATAGAGCATTGGCCTGTGGACTAACGGTTCCCAGGTTTGATTCCGGTCAAGGGCACATGCCTGGGTTGCAGGCTCGATCCCCAGTGTAGTATGTGCAGGAGGCAACCAATCAATGATTCTCTCTCATCATTGATGTTCTTATCTCTTTCTCCCTCTCCCTTCCTCTCTGAAATAAATTATATATATATATACTTAATTTTTTTAAATAAAGTATTTAGACTTGATCTTTGCTGATGCCAAAATAGTAGCATTTGGGGGAGGGCAATGTGTGAGGTGGCATACTTTCATCTTAGGTTTTTTAGAAGAAATTAGAATATGCAAAGATGGGACTAGGTATATAATTACATTATGAGGATTTCATATTTAATTTTATAGGAAAAAGCAATAATTGATTGCCTTTTGTTTATAAATAAAAATAGCCACTCATTGGAAAACAATCACTATAACTTCAATTTATTTTACTTTAGATCATTCTGTGATGAAAGCAGTTATCAAAAAAGTTCTCCAGAATGGAAGCAGTGCCAAGTCAGAGGTATAATGTGTTTCACTTCTCTAGGAAGAATTTCTCTTTCATTGATTTTTTTTTCTTTTTCTAATAAAATAAAATTACCATTGTTGTTTTTGTCATCTTTAAGTTTTTAGTCAAATGAAATGGCTTTCTGTTTTTTTAAATAATGTGTGAATCTTTAATTTGGGGTATCAGAAATACAGATTGCAAATCTTTTCTTAACTTAAAATTTTCAATTAAGATCAAGCCCTCATAAATTACCTTTATCTGAAATGGATTATTTATTATTCCTCTTCCAGTATCAATGGATAACTATTCCATCAGTGAAAGAACCATTGAAAAGTGCCAAACAGAAAAAGAAAACTATAATTCTGGGAAGTGGTCGAAAAGGAAAAGCTACTATTAGAATTGGTAACTCTTTGCTCTTTAATTCTACTAAAAGTTATACCCTTATGTGTTCTGGTGTGCTAAAATTGAAGACTCTTCTCATTATATAGTTTTTATGGTAACAAACAGTATTAACTACATACATATTAGGATGACTAGTTGTTCTGATACAAATTATGAGAATTTGTAGAATGTAGAAATAAATAATTTCAGAACGAGATGCTAATATTTTCTTTTGTTTAATTAACATATTTTCTTGTTTGGCTTCATAAAAAGTTTATTATTTTAAATATGTTTTGTAGTTGATGATTATTTCTAATGCTTTGCAGTTAAAACTTGGGGTGTACTTTGATAATTTTATCATTGTTGTGTTTGCATGGTGATTTTTTTAAAATAAAGAATTATCTATCCTTTTGTGCTATAAGAAATAGAATTTCTTCTAAGTTCCACTTTTACTTCTTATTCCCCTTTTGGAAATTCCCACCTAAAGTTGTTAAGGGAGCTAACACTTTGTTTCTTTCAATTATTAAAAAAAAACACTTGCCGAAACTGGTTTGGCTCAGTGCATAGAGCGTCAGCCTGCGGACTGAGGCGGTCCCGGGTTCGATTCCGGTCAAGGGCATGTGCCTTGGCTGCAGGCACATCCTGGTTAGGGGGTGTGCAGGAGGCAACTGGTTGATGTTTCTCTCTCTAGCTCTCTATCCCTCTTCCTTCTTCTCTGTAAAAATAATAAAATATATATTTTTTTTAAAAACACTTTAGAGTATATATAATCCTTATAAAATAATTTTTTTTAAAAAGGAAAAATTATCCTTGGATGAGGATTAAACAATAACAATAATAATAATGTATTTAATAGTAGTTGGTAAGAGTGTTTATTAAATCGGAAGAAATCTTACGATTTGCTTACAGTTTTTATTTCCAAACAGTGATATTTTAGTAGTTAAGTAGTAAATACAAAGAAATTGAGAGTATTACACTAATTATATATTATTAAAAGTTTATATCATGTATAAGAGTCTTAAAAGTAACCAAGTTAGTGTTTTAATATAATATTAGGAGTGGAAACACATAAGAAAACATTTAAATATTAAAAAATAATTAGAAATTCTATTATTTTAGTACCTGGTGTTGTACTAGGGCATCATGGAATGAGAATAGAACAATAAAAATTATTTTTCTTATTTAACTTAATTAAACAAAGTGGAAATTTGCAAGTTTGTGAGCTTGCTGAGCTATTTTAAGAGTAATTTTATTTCTTGGGCTTTTTTTTTTGTATTTGCCTCAGTTATGTGGAGACATAGAGGTAAGCCAAATAAGTGTCTGGCTATATATTTAGATCCAAGTGAGGTTATGGATTAAATAATTGTGTAAATTGTGTCACATTCATATGACACAATGATGTGTACATTAAAAAAAGGAATTTATTAGGATTTTTTAAATCTAACAAGAGAAGTGTAAATTATTTTGGTTTTCATTACAAATATTTTTTGCTTTCATTTATGAAATTAAAGAAAAGGTATACACATACAAATCACAGATACACAAACATTATTTGTTTGAGGATAAATAACAATATAATAGCATAAGATGAACTGAGGTCCTATATATTTTAAGAGATAATATAAATATATTCAGAGAAATCACACAGAATTATGTGATTATCAGTAAACTATACTACATGAAATATTTGTCCTTGACTACCACATATGCTTTATTTTACATACTAATGTTGCTTAAGTAGATCTTCTATAGTAAAATAGATTTCAAGGATAAATATAACCATATATTATTTGTTTTCAGTAACAGTGAAAATATTTAAATGTGATTTTTAATATATGGTTTGTTCTAAAGAAAATATTAAAATGTAGGCTAGTTTTTGCTACCAAATATTTTATGTAATGATACTTGACTCTTTGGTATTGAAATGTAGGATAAGTCTTCATATTTTGCTCTTTTATCCAGTGGATTTTATTTCTTTTGTGTTTTCTACATGAAATAAAAGGAACAATGAAGGTCAACAGACTTATAGTAGAGTAACTTTGATCACCTACCACCCAGCAACTTTCAGTCTTGTAGCCTTGATCATTTTTACATAGCAAAATTAATCTTAAGTTGAAATTTTGGTCTACTTCAAAAGATTCTGATTATGAGGAGTCGTGGATGTATCTGTTTCTCTATCTTTGAAATTCAATAAACTAAGTGTTTCTGCATGGTACATAAAACGTATCCTGTTTATTTTTATTTCCTTGATATATTTTTTATTTACTTTTGCATATTCTGCACATTTAATGTATTTTAGTTAAAATATTAACTTGTTACATATTTTTAAACAATGCTGGCTTATGTAAAAACATTTTTATAAAATGACTGTTTTTAATGGCTTTGGCATCATTTTTAAGTGTCTGCTTGCTTTTTTTTTTTAAGTGTGCATATGTGCTAAGTGTTCTGTGGTCCTTGAATGAATACTGAGTCTTTCTTTTAATGTTTTCTCAAACATAGGATTGGCTACAAAGAAACCTGCAAATAATGGAAGGAAACACTCCCTTGGGAAAGACAATTATGCTCCTGAACCTCTGCCGCCTGGCGTGTCTGGTTTCCTGCCATGGCGTACTGCAGAACGTGCAAAAAGGAACAGGTACGGTATTTTTATCCCCTATCTTTAGGAGTTTCTATTATGTGGGAAGGAGCTCTCTGGCTGTTTCTGTAGGGGATAAAGATAACTCACACAATGTTTTTTGCCTAGAGCATCTTTAAGAAAGAAAAACTAAGGTAATTATAATTGTGAACTTAAAGTTATTGCTTAAGTATCACAACAGATTTAACCCAGTGGGAGTCAAGAGGAGACTAAAATTATCTCTAATTGTGTGAATAAGAAAGATTTCATTAAAGGCTGGTACAGTTGAGCCAAGCCCTGCAGCACAGAAGTAAGAAGTATGGGTTAGACTTAATGTAACTCAGTTAACTGTCATAACTCATTTTCGTGAATTACACTAGATTTAACTAGTTTTAGCTGAATGTTTACCCAGGAGATAGCTGTTTATAGTAGTATTTGTCATTGAAATATAGAAGTCTTTTTAAATAGTTGAACTATAATTTTAGGCTTGCCAGTGAATTAGATTGCTATAAATTATGTTCAAAAGACTTACTTGGTAGTATTCAAGAAATTGGGGTTTCACAATTGCTTAAGAAAATAGAATTGATTTTAAATAGGACTTGAAGTAGGAACTATGTAAAATTTTTATTAAATTGCTCACATTAAATTGATCATGTATAATGATCAGTTATATATTGTAGTCTCCATTGGACAACTGCTAATGTGAATTATTATTGTACTAAGGAGGGGAGTTCCTTAGCCCAGCCTGCCCTCCCTCACATACTGGAATCCCTCAGAGGATGTCCTACTGATGACTTAGGCCTGCACCCTATTAGGAGCAGACCTAAGCCACAGTCTGGCCTTCCTTTGCAGGAGGCAACTGGGCTGATCGGGGGAAGGTGCCAGCCCTGTCACTCCCTGCTGCAGCCACTGCCAGTCACCGCAGCCACCAAGGTGTTTTCATCAACACAACTCCAGTCCCTTCACCATGGAAAAATGACAACTTTCTTTAAGAATTTTCAAGATGTATCTTTCATAGGATATGACATTTCTTTATTTTTCCTTTTATCCTCATCTGAGGAAATGTTTTCACTGATTTTTTCCCCCACTTCCCTCCAATCCCAGGCTTGGCCTCTGAGCTAGGCTTTAGGCTTGGGAAGAGGGAGGCCCTCACCCACCCCTCTGATGGCCAGCTGGGAGTGACCTGGGTGCTGAGGAGGTTCCCCAGACCCAGGTATGTATGCAAATTAACTGCCATCTTTGTTGGGTTAATTTGCATACTCACTCTGATTGGCTGTGGGCTTAATGGAGGTATGGTCGATTTAGATGTTTCTCTATTATTAGGTAAGATAAACTATAGTGCTGAGGTCCCAGTCTTTGCACATTAGTTTTATAATTTAGTGGTTTTGTATCTTTTTTTTGAGACTCTAATCTCAATCCATCCTAGTCTTAGGAGTCATAAATTGAAGAACCATTAATATCCCCATTAAAGGAGTTAGACTAGAAATCTCAACCATCCCGACTTAGGAACTGAAGGTGCCTCTCAGCAGTTCAGAGTTATCACAAAGCTAAAATGCTAAATCCTATTCAGTTATCTCCATAGCAGAGCCTTACCGGTCCTAATTTTGAGCTTATCTATTGTTATATAAAATTCAATATGGATATTGTACATAATTCTGACAAGTTTTATTAACTGGGGTTAACTGATGATGTACTTATATTAAAATATAATTTGATTTGTTGATATTTTTTTAGGGGTTTCCCATTGATCAAAACTCGTGATTCATATAATCAGTTGCAGGTATGTAGCTGCCATATTTATAGTACATAGGGGGTTGAAGTGGGAAAGCTGCAAGGTTGTTCTCTTTGCTATTTATTTATTTTAATATATTGTATTGATTTTTTTTATAGAGAGCAAGGGGGAGAGAGAGTTAGAAACATCGATGAGAGAGAGTCATCAATCAGCTGCCTCCTGCACACCCCCTGCTGGAGATGTGCCCGCAACCAAGGTACATGCCCTTGACCGGAATCAAACCCAGGACCTTTCAGTCCACAGGCCAACGCTCTATCCATTGAGCCAAACCGGTTCCGGCAGAGGTGCTCTCTTTTGACCATGTATCTATCAGTCATTCCCTAGGACAAGCCAGGCTTCCAGTCAAGGGAACTGCTGGCTGTTTTGTGATGAGTGGCCAGAAGAGCAAATGTGAGTCTGTGAAACATGTTTTTCTTGATTTCCTGGTCTTTATGGACACTTGGGCTCACACCATTTTTTCAAGTTGCTCTCTTTTCCAATCTAGTTACTATAATGACTATATGTTTAAATTGCCTAATTCCTCAAAAAGTCTTGTGGACTTTTCATTTTTATTTTTAAAAGTTAAATATTTGAATCTTTAAATAACTTTTTGCAGAAATCATATCTTTTAGATGAAGTCCAAGTCTTTTAAGCCTAGATTTTAAATGCAATTGGCAAGACAAAGCTTCTGTTTTTCTCTCAATGACAGGAGATTTTCCCTGAATCTTTTACTAGGGGATGGCACTTTTAGACTTTCAACTTCAGGTTAAAATAAAGCTTCAGGCCTAAGACTTTCAAGTGTCTGTGACGTTGCCAGACTTTTCAAGTATTTCCTTTCTTAAACAGGACTGGGATTGAACTTCCCACTAACCTGAGTTAAATCTTCACGATTTACTGAGAGATTATAATCACTTAGGGTTTTTCCATGTTTGGTCAGTTTGAAACCCATCATCCTCTACAATGAAAGTCGCCTGTCATGTCCCGGGTCTCCCTCCAGGAAAGTGCGATGCCCTAGGCCTGGGGTTAGCGAGCGTTGGCCTTGCAGGTGGCTGGCCTCCGTGTCTGCAGTAGCTTGTGATGCTGTGTGGGTCCTGCAGGCTACTCTTCCCGTCCTGGCCCTTGCCAGACCAGGCCTCCTTCAGGAGGAGCTCTAAGCGAGATTAAAGCAGCTCCATTTCTGCCGAGACTTATCTGGGGCTATATAACTTTCTTATCCTAAAGCCAAAATAAAGCACCACATCCCAAAGTCTCCGCTCTCTCGGAACACTTCTCTCTGTCTGACCAAGAGCACACATGCTTTCTGTCATACTGCCTCATGGACGTAGACCGCATGAATCCACAGTATCAGGTTCTCCTCCCAACTATCCTGGGAGACTCTGTGGTTGCTCTGTAACAGATAGAACTCCTGGATTGAGAGAATAGTGCTCTGGGCATCAGTACCACCGCTGCCTGCCCAGAACAGTATTTACCATTGGGACCTTCCTTCACTGCAGGGTTTGCTGCTTGTGGTTGAAACATTATCTTAGTAACTTGTCCTCGGTGCCATCCTAGCACACTTCTTTTTGATCTGTAAACTTTTTACAGGGTTGGATCAGGTCCATTTTTTAAATTTTGGAAATACCGTATTGAACAACATTCCAGTGTCAGTGAAACTTGACAGGAGAGCTGTATTAATACTATATAAGTACTATATAATTACTGTATTAGTACTAGAGGCCCAGTGCATGAATTTCTACACAGGTGGGGTCCCTCGGCCTGGCCAGCGAAGCAATCGGGTAGATCAGGGCCAATTTTTTTTTTAATTCGAACAATACTTATTCATAAAAAAATAAAGTATTACAAATAGTAGTACATATGTTTCTTTCTTTTTTAACCAATTGTTGACCTTTCCCCAACTTCCCTTACCTACCCCCCCGCTCCGTACATGTGTCTTTTAATATTGGGTAGCTGGTTTATCTCATCTCTTATACTTCCTGTCTTCTTCCTTCAAGCAATTAGATTTTCCCGTGACTGTGACAGTAGAGAGTCCTTCCTCCTCAGAAAATGAAGAGGCCGATGATTCTTCAGAAAGTGTTCAAGAAGAACCTGAGAAAACAAGTTTAAAACAAGAAGCATTACAGGTACAAATATGGAGGAGAGTAGGGCAACTTGAGTGAGGCTTCTGTTTTCCCTTCCCATCTGCATTATGTTCTCTTGAGTGGTGCCTTTGCTTAGACCAGTGGTTCTCAACCTTTCTAATAGCGACCCACAGATTGAGAACCACTAGCAGGGTCGCCTAAGACCATCGGAAAACACAGATACTTACATTACGATTCATAACAGCAGCAAAATTACAGTCATGAAGTATCAACAAAAATAATTTTATGGTTGGGGGTCACCACAACATGAAGAACTGTATTAAAGGGTCGCGGCATTAGGAAGGTTGCTTTAAAAGGTGAAAGATTGATGTTTAACTCTAGGAAATAAAAATCAAAACATGCTATCACTAATATATTCCCCTTTCCTTAGAACCATGAATATATTCAATTTAGGGAGAACCTGAATGATCATAAGATAAATATTCAAGAAATTGAATGAATGTAGTCAGCTGATTCTGTGCTCTTAGTTTACAGATAGGGAAATTGACTGTTCTAGCTGAACTGTTTCTATAAGAGGAAAATATGACTTAATTTCTAGCAAAAGTAAAGTTGAAAACAAAAGTTTTGATGTTAATATTCCCCTTTTCTAAAATAAGATATTCTACATTATATTGTCTAATAAACCTGACATCTTCTGTTTGTATGGATAAAAAAAAAAATAATTGATTCGCATGACAAATTTTTGCCTCTCATATATACTATATTTTATTTCAACTTTAATGCAGAGTTGGTAATCTGTAGTAAATAAGGGAAACAGTATTTAGGGGAACCTTGTCTTTTTGTACTACAAACTCTACATTTAAATTTTTTAAATATATTTTTATTGATTTCAGAGAGGAAGGGAGAGGGAGAGATAAAAGCATCATTGATGAGAGAGAATCAGTGATTGGCTGCCTCTTGCAAGCCCCATACAGAGGATTGAGCCTGCAACCCAGGCACGTGCCCTGACTGGGAATTGAACCGTGGTCTCCAGGTTCCTAGATCAATGCTCAACCACTGAGCTATGCCAGCCAGGCCATGTTTAATTTTTTAAAAAAATATATTTTATTGATTTTTTACAGAAAGGAAGAGAGAGGGATAGAGAGTTAGAAACATCGATGAGAGAGACTCATTGATCAGCTGCCTCTTGCACACCCCCTACTGGGGATGTGCCCGCAACCAAGGTACATGCCCTTGACCGGAATCGAACCTGGGACTTTTCAGTCCACAGGCTGACGCTCTGTCCACCGAGCCAAACCATTTTCGGTGGGCCATGTTTAATTTTTTTTTAATTATTTAACATTTTATTTTAGTATAAAACTTGGAAGATTTAGAACTAGTTATCCCATTTAGAACTAGATTTAGAATTAGACTATGGAAGCAACTATTTGATTTTCAAAAATGAAAGCAAATTTTTTAAGTAAAAATTAATGACAACAGTATAGAGAAATTTTAGGTACCTAGAAAAATATGAAATGTTAGAGTGTGAGGAATCTGTCATTCATGTAAAATTACCCCTTTTGTCTTGTAAATGAGCACCTACAACTTATAGCACTGAAATGATTTAGTCTTAAGTTTCAGAGTAAGACAAGACCCTAAGCGTCTAATTCCCATTTATTGTCATTTTAAATGTGTTGTAGTCATTTCCCACCGGGTGACTAGAAGATTGTATTTAGAAAAGCGATTATAGACATTAGAGAAGACCAACGGGGTTAGAAACTGTAAGGAGGTACTAACTGATTCCAGATGCATGAGGACCCTTCCAGCTCCCAGATGTCCATACAGAGATAAAAATTAAGTAAATTGTATATATTCATAGAGTGGGAAAACTATAAAGCAATAAAATTGCATGAGCTAGAGCTACAGGCAACAGTGTGGATGAAATTTTTTAAACACTTTTAAAAATTAAATTTATTTATTGGTTTTAGAGGAAGTGGGAAAGAGAGGGAGAGAGAAACATCCATTGTTGTTCCACCCAGTTATGCATTCCTTGGTTGATTTGTATGTGCCCTGACCAGGGATCAAACCCACAACCTTGGTGTATTGGGATAACACTAACCAGCCGAGCTACCTGGCCCGGGCCAGTGTGGATGAATTTTTAAAAACAATGTTGAGTAAATTAAATAAGGTACAAAAAACTGCATACACTATGATTCTTTTCACATGAAGTTAGACATTGATAAAACTAAACTATTTTGTTAGGTATGTATGAATGTAAAGAAAATGATTGTTGGGAAATAAGGTTGGTAATTTAACTCCAGGAGGAGAAGAGGGGCTTGTGATGGGGAGAGAACGTGGGGGTTTGAGATGCAGACAGGTTTTACTTACAGACTTGAATGGTAGTTAGAAAAGTAATCTCCTTATTTGTCACACTGACAGTTTTGTTCTGCGCTCTTTTCATATTCATATATTTTGCAATTAAAAACCTGCTTAAAGCCAAGACCAGTTTGGCCCAGTGGATAGAGCATCGGCCTGTAGACTGAAAGGTCCCAGGTTCGATTCCAGTCAAGGGCATGTACCTTGGTTGCTGGCACATCCCCAGTAGGAGGTGTGCAAGAGGCAGCTGATCGATGATTCTCTCTCATCAATGTTTCTAACTCTCTATCCCTCTCTCTTCCTCTCTGTAAAAAATCAATAAAATATATTAAAAAAAAAAAAAAACCTGCTTAAAGAAATGGTTGCCTCTAGAGAGTGGATGTGTGCAGTGTGCGTGGAATGAGAGACTACAGTTGACCTTTAAACAACGAGGGGGATAGGGTTCCTACCACTTGTACGATAAAATGGTCAAATATAACTTAAGTTGGCCCTCCACAGTGTTACACGGCTTCCCAACCACCAGTTAGTTGTCAAGGGTCAACTGTACTTTATTTTAAGCCCTTTGCTACTGTTTGCATTTAAATGCTCATCGTTTAGCATTAATTGAACATATTCTATGAACCAGGCACTCTTCTAAGTTTTACATATGTGCCAACTCGTATAATTCTCATAAGAACTCTATGATATGAGAACTTATCTCCACTTTATAGATGATTAAATTGAGGGCTATAGTTATTGAATTTGTCCAAGGTTATATAACTGATACATTGCCATTAGCAATCTTCTAGAAAATCTTAGAAGTTTTTTGGAAAGCATTTTGGAGATCTATACCTCAAAGTCTTAAAAATGTTCAGTTCCTTTAATCTCAAACTCTTAGATTTATATCATTAAAATTATGCTATCCCTACCCGATTTGGCTCAGTGGATAGAGTATCGGCCTGCAGACCAAAGGGGCCCGGGTTCAATTCCAGAGAAGGGCACATACCTTGGTTGCAGGCTTCTCCAATTAATGTGTTTCTCTCACATTGATGTTTCTCTGTCTTTCCTTCTCCTCTCTCTTCCACTCTCCCTAAAAATCAAGAGGAAAAAATCCTCAGATGAGAATTAATAAAAAAAATCTTAATTTAAAAATATACGCTAAATATGAAAAGAGCCACCATACATAAAAATAATTATTTTGTCTCATAATATTGAAAATTTATGAAGAACATAAGAGTATAACCATAAAAATTATTAATGTGGAGCAGTAAACTCTCTCAATGGAATATTTTGTGTCCCACTAAAAAAATGATTGATTCAATGTTAAATGGAACAAACTTGAGTATAAAATTTGATACACAACCTGATGGGAGCTTTATTCCAAAAATATTTCAACTAGCCAATAAATAGCAGGGAGGAAGGAGAACTGATGACAGGAAGAAAATTGCTCCAGAACCTTATCATTTGCTTGATCAGGAATTGACCTGAGACCCTTTGGTGCATAGGTCGATGTTCTAACCACTGAGAACATGGGCCAGCACCCATATTTTAAAGAATATGAATTAGCCGAAACCGGTTTGGCTCAGTGGATAGAACGTCGGCCTGCGGTCTGGAAGGTCCCAGGTTCGATTCCAGTCAAGGGCAGGTACCTCGGTTGCGGCACATCCCCAGTGGAGGGTGTGCAGGAGGCAGCTGATCGATGTTTCTCTCTCATCATCGATGTTTCTAACTTTCTATCCCTCTCCCTCTCTGTAAAAAAATCAATAAAATATATATTTTTAAAAAAATAAAGAATATGAATTACTTTGTAGGAAAGGATACTTTTTCATAGAAATTCAACATTATGTTCTAATTCTTTCCACTAGAGGGAGAAACTGTTTCATGTAATTGAACTTTGATATGCTGTTTAGAACTGGTTATGAACGGAGTATTTTAGTCTACTGTCTCTAATTGTGATGTGGCTTGTTTGTTTGAATATTTTTGTAAAAAGAAAAAAATTATTGAAGTTTAACATACATATGATTTAAAGTGCTTAAATCATAATTACAAAATAGCTCAGTGAATTTTTACAAACGTATACATTCACATCTCCCATAAAGATAAAAATATTTACAGCTTTTCAAAAAGTTCCCTTGCTCAACTTCTCTAATCAATATGTCCTCCCTCCCCAAAGGTAGCCACCATTCTGACTTCTATCATGTGATAATTTGCTTCTTCTTTTTTTTTTTTTTTTTTTTTTAATTGGGGCCTACCTAGAGTTATTGAACTTGTCCAAGATTAGAATCTCTGTGAAGTCAGTTTTAAATATTGAGAACATTCTGTAAAAATAGAGGAATTTTTATTTCTGATTTACTATATTATAGATATATACGCCTTTTATGGTGAGCTGCCACAAATTATTTTGAAAAGAGAAGAAGCTAAATAAATAAATCTTGAACATGCTAATTTGATGTATTTTGGTAATTCACTATCATAGTATAAGGAGTGGATTATAATCCTGAAATCTGAGTTCACTTGTGGCCCTGCCTCTAAATCCTTGGTGAGATCTATCGCTGGGAAGACTTGGATATCACACTGTGAATAGCTAATGATATTTTCTCTATTTCCTCACACTAGGGAAAACTGGATGAGTGCCTAAATCAGTTAAAGGAAGAAAGAGTAATAAGGCTCAAGGCTGACAAACGAGTTAGTGAGGTAAACAAGTGTTTTCTTATACTTTGCAGAATTTTTTGGTTTTATTTTTATTTCATTTTAAGCCATGTGCACAGACCGTTTGTAAACTTTAAAGCTGTAATATATTACAACTTGGTTGCGCCGCGTGAACTTTCGTATTTACTTATAGTTAGTGGTTATGTGAACTACCCTGTTTCCCGAAAATAAGACAGTGTCTTATATTAATTTTTGCTCCCAAAGATGCGCTAGGTCTTATTTTCAGGGGATGTCTTATTTTTCCATGAAGAAGAATACGGTACACATTTATTGTTAAATGAAAATAAAGGAAATTTATTACCTGTATACGGTACGGTAATACGGTAGTTGTCAACACAAACCAGACAAACTGTGAATCCTACAGTATCAAGAATTTATTCATTTATTCAGTGACAATCATATCATCATCTTCTGGAACATCATCATAACAATCCAATTCCTGAATTTCCTGGTGAATTTCTTGTGACTCCTGGGGGGGGGGGGGCCCTCATTTTCGGGGGGATGCCTTATATTTCACTCAGAAGGAAACCTGTAAGTAGGTCTTATTTTTGGAGGATGTTTTATTTTCAGGGAAACACGGTATATTCCAGAAAGCATTTGTTAAAAATATATTTTATTGATTTTTTTACAGTGAGGAAGGGAGAGAGATAGAGAGCCAGAAACATTGATGAGGGAGAAACATCGATCAGCTTCCTCCTGCACACCCTTTACAGGGGATGTGCCTGCAACCAAGGTACATGCCCTTGACCGGAATCAAACCTGGGACCCTTCAGTCCACAGGCCGATGCTCTATCCACTGAGCCAAACCGGTTTAGGCAGTGTTTTTTTTAATGTAAAAATCAGGGTTTTTTTGTATATGTGCTTTTCTATAACTTCAACTTATTTTTTGTTCATGATGTTTTGATTCATGAAAGCACTTGTGCTTACACTATGTATATAGTAACATAAAACAGTCTAAACAGTAACATGTGAAGACTGTTTACTGATAGTGAATTAGGAAAGTGAATCATTTAAATAAATAAGTATAATAATTGGAAAATGCTAAGAATACAATGAAAGAAAAATATGTATTATGAGAATTACAATTAGATTAATGTGCATGAAAGCAGGGCATAAGCTATAAAAAGTTCCGTATACGTATATATTATTACTTCAAGTCCGATGCACTAAATTCGTGCAAGGGTAGGCCTTCCTTCCCCTGGCTGCCGGTACCCAGGACCCAAGCTTCCCTCCTCTGGCCGCCTGCAGGCACCCGGGACCTGGGCTGGCTTCCCTCTGGCCCAGGCCTCGTCAGGAGGACCTCCAGTCTAATTAGCATATTACTCTTTTATTATTATAGATAAGGTGAGTTTAAGGAGGAATCTCTTAAAGTGTATACATTGGATTGGAGGGCATTTATTTAATCACTATTGAGCACCTGCTTATAGAAGGCCAAAGATGCATCATGAACAAAACGTATTTCCAATAAATACTGGAATTGGGCTTATATGTGGTTTTAAATGAACAGATGTTGAGATGTGCAAGGTAGTAAATATTTTAAGAAGCCAAGGAGAATATTGGTAACCATGTAGTTAATAAATTGGGTATGGCTTAGGACTTCTAAATTTGCACAATTAATATTTTTCTCATTAAAATTAATCTTTACTGGGTCTGTTTGTGTTACCCAGAGAAAGAGAACCAGCGATCAGACTCTCAAACCTCAGAGGGAAAATAAGGGGGGATGGGGGCAAGGGAAAGAGATCAACCAAAGGACTTGTGTGCATACATATGGGCCTAGCCAGTGGCCATGAACAAGGGGGCGGGGGCATATCTAGGGAGGGGTTTGGGATGGGAATGGGGGAATAAGGACAATTATGTGAGACCATAATCAATAAAAAAAAAATTAATCTTCAACACTCAACAGAGTTGTATTACTTGATAAATTTGACTCTATTTTATTTTCTAATTTAAAAGAACCCATAAGCAGCTAATTCTCTAATGTGAAATGAGGATTCATTGTGAAATTAACCAGTTAAAAATATTATCTTTTGGAAGATCATTAATAAAACAATAATTTTTTTGTATTTTTTAAAATATATTTTTACTGATTTTAAAGAAAAGGAGAGATCGATAGAAACATCATTGATGAGAGAAAATCTTTTTTATCCATATATATATTTTTTTTTTAATTGATTTTACACAGAGAGGAATTGAGAGGGACAGAGAGTTAGAAACGTAGATCAGAGAGAAACATCGACCAGCTGCCTCTTGCCCACCCCCTACCGGGAATGTGCCCACAACCAAGGTACATGCCCTTGACCAAAATCGAACCCAGAACCTTTCAGTCCACAGGCTGATGCTCTATCCACTGAGCCAAACCAGTCCCAGCAAGAGAAAATCTTTGATTGGCTGCCTCCTGCACACCCCCTTCTGGGGCTCAAGCCTGAAACTCAGGCATGTGCCCTGAGTAAGAATTGAACTGTGGCCCTAGCTGGTTTGGCTCAGTGGATAGAGCGTCAGCCTGCGGACTGAAGGGTCCCAGGTTCGATTCCAGCCAAGGGCACATGCCTGGGTTGCAGGCTCCATCCCCGGTGAGGGGTATGCAGGAGGCAGCCAGTCAATGATTCTCTCTCATCATTGATGTTTCTATCTCCCTCTCCCTTCCTCTCTAAAATCAATAAAATATATTTAAAAAAAAAAAAAAAAAAGAGTTGAACTGTGATCTGTTTCATGGGCCAATTCTCAACAAGCCTCACTGGCCGGGTGATAATTGCTTTATTTATATACTATCTAAGTGTTATATAAGAAACTTTGTTGAGTGGCTCTGGGTTTTGATAATTGTCTTCAATTAGTGAGTTAGATTAATTATAAATTTATTGCATTCTTAAATATTTAATAACTTTTGATGACAGAGAAAATGTCAGATATTTTCAATCTTCTTTTATAGCTTGAACATGAAAATGCCCAGTTAAGAAATATAAATTTTTCTTTGTCTGAAGCCCTGCATGCACAGTCCTTGACAAACATGATCCTGGATGATGAAGGTGTTTTGGGCAGCATTGAGAATTCTTTTCAGAAGTTCCATGCTTTCTTGGATCTCCTTAAAGATGCTGGGTTAGTTCATTTCTCTCCATGCCATTTAGCTTTTTGCAATTATACTGGTATTTTTTGCTAAGGAACTTCGGCAGTTTCATGGTCATATTTAGTGCATAATTATAGGTAGTGTACTTAATTTATTCTAAATGAGGAATTACATTTTAAAAGAAATGCAAAATGGTGATCCTGCTTTGGTAAAGCAGAAGAGCCCATTATAAAAGAGTAACCTATAGATAAAATAATTAGTAAGTATAGTTTTGGGTAAAGACTAAATCAAGATAATTTGAATTGGAAAATACTGCAGAAGGCATAGGAATTTCCCTTTTAATTCATTTTGTTTGTTAAATAAAATTAGAGTTAAAATTATTTTTGTCCTACACATAAAAATTATAACGAATCAACCGAGCATATATATTATAGATCAGTGGTTCTTACCTGGGAGTGATTTTACTGAAAGAAGATACCAAAAGAGAGAATGAGAGGTTGATAATTGATGGAGTAATATCTGTGGGTGTATGGGTTGGTGTAGGGAAGGAAGGAACACACACATTCTTGGAAACTGTAGGGAAGAAAAGTGGTAAAGAAGTGTGGGAAAATGGTGATGGAAGGAGACTTGACAGGTTGGTGAACACACAGTACAGTGTACCAATGATGTGTTGTGGAATTGTGCACCTGATGCCTATATAATTTTGTTAACCAGTGTCACCCCCAATAAATTCAATAAAAATAAAACCATGACACTGGGAAAAGATTTTTTTTAAGTGTGGCAAGAGAGTTGAGAGATAAGGACTGGGTACGTGGTAGGTGGTGAAGCTACTAATGAGACAGTGTTTAAAATGGAGTGTTGCCGGGACCGGTTTGGCTCAATGGATAGAGCGTCGGCTTGGGGACTGAAGGGTCCCGGGATCGATTCCAGTCAAGGGCATGTACCTTGGTTGCGGGCATATCCCCGGTAGGGGATGTGCAAGAAGCAGCTGATCGATGACTCTCTCTCATCGATGTTTCTAACTCTATCTCTCTCCCTTTCTCTCTGTATAAAATCAATAAAAAAAAATATATTTAAAATGGAGTGTTTATAGGTAAGGAAATAAAATCAAATAGTGATTAACACATTGTTGAAGAGAGAGAGAAATTTAAAGGATTGAATGAGCCGAAATCGGTTTGGCTCAATGGTAGAGCATCGGTCTGCGGACTGAAAGGTCCCAGGTTCGATTCTGGTCAAGAGCATGTACCTTGGTTGCTGGCACATCCCCGGTGGGGGGTGTGCAAGAGGCAGCTGGTCGATGTTTCTTATCGACATTTCTAGCTCTCTATCTCTCTCCCTTCCTCTCTGTAAAAAATCAATAAAATATTTAAAAAATAAATATAAAAATAAATAAATAAAGGATTGAATGATCTTTGTAGTCCCAGAGCATGAATATCGAGAGGTCTAAGAACTTGGGAAAGATAGAGGCTTATCATCTGGAGTAGAAATTGGCTTTTAAGATTATAAAAGTATTTCATAAGTACAGGTATGGGGGAATCTAAGCTGCTCTTACGTGACTATAGCAACCCTTGCCTTTTCCTCCTTTTGTCCAGGCTTGGGCAGCTTGCCTCATTAGCAGGTATAGATCCGTCAGATTTTAATTTAATAGGTCGTCCACAGCTGCATTCCACTCTCACTGGTCCACCTAAAGAAGAAAAGAAGGCACTTGAAGAAGAAAAACCAGAATCAACGCAGAATGCCCTAGGACAAATGCAAAATATTCAAGTAAGTGGAGAGAATAAGAGTGCTTAGCAAAAGGGAGTTACCAAGTCAGAGAAAATAACAGTAATCTGTCTTAATTCATTCACATGCTTGGGAGCTAGAAGCCCATTTGGGTCCTTTCTAAATCTGAGATTAGTAAATTTGTGCCCATTTCATGATATATTGTTATATGTAACAAAACTGGAAGTTCTTTTGAAAATCTATGACAAAGCAAACTATCTTCAGTGAAAGAAATGAAAAATCACATTAGAGAATATATTCTAAATTTTAAATTGTGTAAATATCTATTCTATTCATATTTCATCTAGGTTTCTATTTGTATGCAGTCAGCTTACAATGAAGGAACACTAATGAAGGTACAAGTACCATTACAGATAATTATTTAAAATAAGTGAACCAGATATATCTAGTAGGCAATATATTACCGTTAGTCACCCAGTTGTGGGAAGAGAGGAAAACCTGTCTGCTTTTCCTCTACTTTACTTGGAGTCCTCGTCTTCCATCTCAGTTGGTCTCAGACTGATCGTGGGAACTGACACTTGAGAACACAGTCTCGTCACATAGTGGATACTGCTTGTATGTGGCTGCAAAATAAAAAAGAAATTAATTTTCTTGGGGGATAGAGTTTTATTGTTTCTAATGAGGGAAGAAGAAATGGGTGATTACCCCAAACACCGGAGTCTGCAAACATAGTGGATATAGCCTTAGATATAGCGAAGTTAAGTTGGGAATCACTTGGCAAGATATAATTAGAAAGAAAGAAAGAAAAAAAACTGGTTCTAAAATCTTCTAAATGATCCATTCATAAAATCAGAGAGTAACATTGACATTTAGGACTCTACTTTTTAATAGCTGGCTTTGTTCATTACTGAATTTCTGTCTTTTTCCCCCCTCCAGTTTCAGAAAATTACGAGTGATGCTACCATTCCTTTGCCCCTCGACGCCTTACAAGTCCAAGTTTCTACTCAGGAGGCCTTAGAAACTTCCAAAGACATCATGGGAGTCGAAGCCACTGGGCAACGGCAGGAGTCTTCGGAGGGAGTCATTGGTAGAACATGTTCTCCTTCAGCAGATGGGATTTCTGGACCTGGAAGTCAAAGAAAAGACGAGTTGTCTAGAAATAGAAGATCTTCTTCAGAGAAAATAACCAAAACAGGTGAATATACCAAAAAACACTCCGCTAAGAAAAAACATGGAAAGGACCTACATTCCCTCTCTGACTCATCTGTAAACTGGAAAAGCAAAGGAATAGAGCATGATAGCTCTTTGGTTAGTGAACCAATTAAAAGTGAGTCTTTGAAAAATCACATTTCTGTCAAGAAAGAAAGTAGAATAGTGACTGTTTCATCTAAGAGAACTAAAAGTAAATTCAATGTATTAGAACATTCTGAAAGCGATACTCTTGGATCTGATTTTGAATTTCAAGAAAGCATTCATACTCTATCACGCCTGACATAGGTCTAAATCTGTTGAAATTATGTTTTTGCCTTAAATTTTTAATAAATTTCTTATGTTTTCATCATGGCATATGGTGTTTTAAATATGGAACTGGAAGCCATTAGAGAAAGATGTATCTATTCTTTTCATTATAATGAACCTTTTGGTGTATTTCCCATTGCCAGTTTGCACCATTCACTCAACAATACGATTACTGTTTTTAGCAATGAATAAAACAAAACTTTTATCCTATGGAATTAGTCCTCTATGGAGTGAAAAAAAAAATTAGCAAAGCAGGGTGAGGGAACTAGAAAGGGATGAGAGTGAATAAATGGAATTGTTTTACCATTTGGTTAAATATGGAAACATTATAAATTGCATGGCCAAAAGCCGTTGAGGATCCTAATTCATAATATCCAGAGTAGCATACATTTACCAAATACTTAACCAGGTTTATGGATTATGGCAACTCAGTGGTAGGGAATTATTATGCCCATTCTGTAGATGAAGTGACTAAGGAGACATTACGTGATTGCCTAAAATTGCATGGCTGAAATAAGTTGTAGAGCTGGGATCTGAACCAGAATCCATGCTCTTAATCACTTTTTCATCCTTTTTCCCTGTTAAGAGAGGAAGGGTTTGAGGAAGACATTAAGAGTAAAGCCGGTGAGCATTAGAAGAGCAAGATTGGGGCTACCTGCCTGTACCTTCCCCTGCTGGGTAGGATTTTTTAAGGGAATTTATGAACACTGGTCTCTGAACTAAATTATGCTTCCCTGGTAAAACATGTGTAGCTAAGTCCTTAGTAAAACCAAACTGACTTGAGAAGGAAGATCGAAGAAAAGCTGGAGTGTCAGATTTCTTCTAAAGGTTCCGCCTGATTGTTATCGGAAGAGCTACTACAATGCTATGTAGTTTATAATTATGCATTGACTCTTACAGGAATAAAAAAAACAATGAACAAGAATAAGATTTAGATTCGGCCCTTTAACAATAAAGTGAGAGGGGAAGACACACAAGCAGATGTTTGTTTGTTTGTTTGTTTGTTTGTTTTTTAATATATTTTATTGATTTTTATAGAGAGGAAGGAAGAGGGATAGAAAGCTAGAAATGTTGATGAGAGAAACATCGACCAGCTGCCTCTTGCACACCCCCTACCGGGAATGTGCCCGCAGCCAAGGTACATGACCTTGACCAGAATCAGACCCGGGACCCTTCAGTCCGCAGGCTAACGCTCTATCCACTGAGCCAAACTGGTTTCGGCAAGCAGTTGTCTTAATACAGCATGTTACATTCTATAAAGACAATACTTTTGTAATTTAGCCAGTGTTTGAGGAAGAAGAGAGAGCTGTGGGACCAAGAAAGGTCATCTAAAGAATCAGCCTCCAGCATTAAAAAAAATAGGGAACCCTGAGATCCAGAGTCCATTCAAAGATTAAAAAAACAAACAAACAAAAAACAACCTACGGTAAGCTAAGTCTTAAAAGATTTGTTGGAACTGGTAAAAGTGATGAACGGAAAGGATATTTCAGGTACAGGGAACAGCATAAGCACAAGTACAGAGCTATGGTGTGAGAGTGGTCTGTTTGGGAAACCACATCTACAAGTGGTTTAAAATAAATGGAGTGTCATTGTCAGTGGCAAGTGGCACTGAAGTAAACAGCGGAGAGAGTGAGAGCAGGCCTTACAATCCCTGTTGCATGGAGCTGGTTCTCAGGAGTAGTGAGCTAATCCACAGGATTAAAGAATGGAAATGACATGTTTGGGTTTGCATTTTAGATTGTTAGCTTCAATGTGGCAGATGAATTTGAAGAAACATGGAGCTCAATTATGCCACACTCTCTCCTGTGGAACATTATTTGTAAGTGGGATTTACATACACCAATTCTCCTCTCTGGGTTTTGGACTTGATCCCTAGTAAGGGAAGGGACATGCAGGAGGCAGCCAGTCGATGATGTTCTTGTCATAGATGTTTCTATCTCCATCCTTCTCTTTTCATCTCTATCAATAAAAAAAAATATGTTAAAAGGAGTTTTTTGGACAAAAACAGAACCCATGATGATCTACTGGTATGTTATTACAACTAATGAGAAAGCTTAGTAAGGAGGCAGGCATAACACCAACACCAATATCAAAAGCTCTGTATATATCAGCAATAACCAATTAACAATTTTTTAAAAATATATATTTTATTGATTTTGTACAGAGAGAGAGATAGTTAGAAACATCGATGAGAGAGAGTCATCAATCAGCTGCCTCCAGCACACCCCCTACTAGGGATGTGGTTGCAACCAAGGTTCATGCCCTTGCCTGGAATCGAACCCAGGACCCTTCAGTCCATAGGCCGATGCTCTATCCACTGAGCCAAACTGGTTTTAGCCCAATTAACAAATTTACGGGGAAGGCAGAGAGCTCCCATTTATCTAGAAATATGCTTAACAAGAAATGTAAGGCCTATATGAATAAAAAAACATTTATACTGAAGGTTATGAAAGGAGACCCTTCCCCCCCCAAATGGAGTGGCATGCATCTTTCTGTGAGAAAACCCAACATAATATATTAGTTCTACCAAGTTAGAAGTTCAAAGCAATTTCATACAATCATAGAAAGGTTTTTTAAAATGAAGTTCATCTGGAAGACAGAGCACAGCATAAATTATGAATAGATGTCAAAGCAATCCACAGAGCCAGGTAAATGAGATAATCAATAGGTTCAAGGCACAAAACAGCCCTGGCCAGTTTGGCTCAGTGGATAGAACATTGGCCTGGGGATGAATGGTCCAGGTTCCGATTCTGGTCAAGAGCACATACCTTGGTTTCAAGCTCAATCCTGGTAGGGACATGTACGGGATACAGCCAATAGTGTGTCTCTCTCACATTGATGTTTCTGTCTCTCCTCCCTCCCTTCCACTCTCTAAAAATCAATGGAAAAATATCTTCCAATGAGGATTAACAACAATAAAAAATTTTAAAGCACAGAACATAACATCCAAGAACAGAGCATTGTATATGTATGAGAACTTAATATTTGAAAGACAGCATTGCAAATAAGTAGGGAAGGATTGAACCATTCAGTAAATTATGTTGAGATTATTGACTGGAAAAAAAAATTTTTTTTTTTAATATTTTTTATTGATTTTGTACAAAGAGGAAGGGAGAGAGATAGTTAGAAACATCAATGAGAGAGAGTCATCGATCAGCTGCCTCTTGCACAGTCACTACTGGGGATATGCCTGCAACCAAGGAATATGCCCTTGACCGGAATTGAACCCGGGACCCTTCAGTCCCCAAGCCAACAGTCTATCCATTGAGCCAAACCGGTTTCGGCTGACTGGAAAAATTTTTATTCTTTCATATCATGAACAAGAAATAAAATCCCAGTGAATTAAACATGGAAATGTAAAAATGACTAGATGAAAATATCAGGGGGAAAAAATGTGGGGTGAAGACCTTCCTAAGCAAGACACAAAACCCAATATCCATGGGGGGAAAAGATTGATAGATTTGAATACATTTTAAAAATGTGATTTGTACAAAAATATGAATAAGAGGCAAAAGATTGGGAAAGTGTGAAATATAACAGAAGGTTAAAGATTCTTAATATAAAATGCACCTGCAAAACAAACAAGGGATATAAAAATCTATAATAATAAAAGTGTAATATGCAAATCAACTGGCTGAACAGCGGAACCACCATCTGACCACCCTATGACACCCACTGGCACTAGGCCAGCCAAGGCAGATGTGATGCAATTGGTCAGGGCCCCCTGCCCCAAATCCATTGCCCCACAATTGCCCCACAAAGGGAGGCCCAGACCACTGGCCAGCGAGGCAATCAATCAGGGGGCTCCTCAATTGCCCCAAAGAGGGGCGACTGATGGAGTGGTGGGGGGGGGGCTCTGTGGAACCAAGGAACTGGGGGGTGTGGCGGCAGATGTGGACAGCACCAGGCCGGGGCGGGTGCCAGCAGGGGGCAGGACTGCGAAGGCCTACTCTTGCACAAATTTCGGCCCTCTAGTATTTTTATTAAAAGAAAGACCTATAAACAATATATAAGCCAAAACAGGTTTGACTCAGTGGATAGAGCATCGGCCTGCAGACTGAAAGGTCCCAGGTTCAATTCCGGTCAAGGGCATTTACTTTGGTTGTGGGCACATCCCCAGTAGGGGGTGTGCAAGAGGCAGTTGATCAATGTTTCTCTCCCATTGGTTTCTAACTATCCCTCTCTCACTCTCTGTAAAAACATCAATAAAATATATTAAAAAAAACACACACAAAACAATATATAAAACCATTTAACTCCATAAGCAATCAGGAAAATTCAAATGAGATGCTATTTTTCAATCCATTTGAAACAGCAGATTTTAAGGATTGGTAATTGCTAGTGCTTGACGGTAATGTGATGAAATGAGCATTCTGTCATTGTTGAGAGAAGTAAAAATGGATACAGCTTTTTGGGTGGACAATTTGGCAATGTACATCAATATTTAAAGTGGGTTTAGCCCTAGCTGGTTTGGCTCAGTGGATAGGGTGTCAGCCTACAGACTGAAAGGTCTAAGGTTCAATTCCAGTCAAGGACACATGCCCAGGTTGTGGGTTCAATAACCAGTAGGGGGCATGCAGGAGGCAGCCAATCAGTGATTCTCATCTTTGATGCTTCTATCTCCCTTTCCCTCTCCCTTCCTCTCTCTCTAAACCAATAAAAATATTTCTTTAAAATAAATTGTGTTTAGCCTCTGATTCAAACAAGTGATTCTAAGCATTGAGCCCAAAGAAACATTTACACAATGTCCTAAGAGTCAGGTATAAGAATAAAATAAAATAAAAATTAGAAACAACAAAAGTGTGGAATCTGTTGAATTAATGCATAGGCCTACCATGCAATGCTCTGCAGCAGACAAAATAGTAGCTCTAAGGTGTGAATGTGAAATATTTGTAAGACATGCTGATGTGAAAAACAAGTTGCACAATAATATCACACCCTCCTGTTCAGATTTATATGATTAAAAACCTTTTTACATTCATGTAGCATTCATGTGTCTGTGCACCTGTAAAATAGTCCATAATAACACATATCAGGCTGTTGACAGTTTCCTCTGACAAAAGCCATTGGATTGTGAGATGAGGAAGGAAAAGGCTTTTCATATTTTACTACATTTACTTCTAGGCAGTTAGACTTTTTAAAGATAAGGATGTTCTTATGGATGACAAATAATTTTCTAAATTCCTCTTCACAGAAAACTTGGGAAAGGCAAATGTACAATGTCATTCCATATATTCAGTGCCCATTTAACTTTCAAAATGTGCCTGTCCTAATAACCAAATGAAAATGAGCTTATAAAAATGAATCCCAGAAGATCGATGCCAAGATACATTATAATTAAATTGGCAAACACCAACGACAAAGTAAGAATCTTAAAAGCAGCCAGAGAGAGACAGAAAGTTACATATAAAGGAACCCCCATCAGACTAGCAACTGATTTCTCAACAGAAACTTATCAGGCCAGAAGGGAATGGAATGAAATATACAAAGCCATGCAAAGGAAGGGTCTGAATCCAAGAATACTGTACCCAGCAAGGCTATCAATCAAAACTGAAGGTGAAATCAGGAGCTTCACAGACAAAAAAAAAACTAAAGGAATTTATCTCCACCAAACCAGCAATGCAAGAAATGCTAAAGGGTCTACTATAAAAATAAAGAAATAGGAAGTGAAGAAGGAACACAGGGGTATAGAATAAAAATGGCGTCAAATGAGTACCTATCATTAATAACTTTAAATGTAAATGGTTTAAATGCTCCAATCAAAAGACATAGGGTAACAGATTGGATAAGAAAACAAGACCCATACATCTGTTGTCTACAAGAAACCCACCTCAGAAAAAAAGATGCACACAGACTGAGGGTGAAGGGATGGAAAAAGCTTTTCCAGGCAAATGGAAATGAAAAAAAAGCTGGGGTAGCAATACTTATATTTGATAAATTAGATCTCAGAGTGAAGGACATAACAAGAGATAATAAAGGCCACTTCATAATACTAAAGGGAGCAATCCAACAAGAAGAAATAACCCTGGTAAATATATATGCACTCAATACAGGAGCACCTAAATACATTAAAAAAAAAAAAACTGCTAGAGGACATTAAGGGAGAGATTAATAGCAATACAATCATAGTAGGAGATTTTAATACCCCACTGTCATCCTTTGACAAATCATCTAAACAAAAAAATCAGCAAAGAAATATCAATCCTAAATGACTCACTAGACCAGATGGAATTAATCAACATCTTCAGAATACTCCACCCCAAAGCCACAGAATATACATTCTTCTCAAGTGTATATGGGACATTCTCAAAGATAGACCACATTTTGGGACATAGGCAAAGTCTCTTCAAATTTAAGAAGATAGAAATCATATCAAGCATCTTCTCAGATCATAATGGCATAAAACTGGAAATTAACTACAATAAAAATAATCCAAAGAAATCAAACACATGGAGACTAAACAGCATGCTATTAAACAAGGACTGGGTTACCAGAGAAATCAAGGAAGAAATTAAAAACATCCTGGAAACAACTGACAATGAAAACACAACAATCCAAAAATCTATGGGACACAGCAAAAGCAGTTTTGACAGGGAAGTTCATATCCCTACACGCCTATTGCAAAAAACTAGAAAAAATGATAACGAATGATCTAACTCTACAACTCAAAGAGTTAGAAAAAGAGCAACAAGAAAAGCCCAGTGTAAGCAGAAGGAAGGAAATAACAAAAATTAGAGCGTAGATA